TGTCATTTCTTCTTGGCTAACTGTCCATCCATCCATCCATCCATTATCTTTTACCCATCCATCCATCCATCCATTATCTTTACCCGCTTATTCCATTTTGGGTCACGGGGGTCGCTGGTGCCCATGTCCAGCAATCACTGTGTGATGGGCAGGGGACACCCTGGACGGGTCGCAAGTCCATCACAGGGACACATAGAGACAAACGAGACAAACAACCATTCACTTTCTCACTCACACCTAGGGACAATTTAGAGTTACCAATCAGCCTAACATGCATGTTTTTGGTCTGTGTGAGGAAACCAGGGTACCCAAAGAAAAAACACGCATGCACGGAGAGAACATGCAAACTCCATCCAGAAGGGCCCCCGAACCAGGATTTGAACTGGGGACCTGCTCGCTGAGAGCAGCAGCTCTACCGGTTGTGCCATCATGCTGCCCTTGGCTAAGCTCTTTTGTTGAACAGCTTCCTGCACTTCATTGTTCCACCACCAGGTTTCCTTATCATCTATTTTCTGTCCAGATGACACACCAAGTACCTTCCTACCTGTCTGTCTAATTACTGTTGCTGTAGTAGTCCAGTCATCTGGAAGCTCTTTCTTACCACCCAGAGCCTTTAACAGCTCCTCTCTGAATTTTTCACAACGTTCTTTTTTTCCTCATCTTCCACAATTTGGTCTTCTTCTCTGATTTTACTCTTTTTCTCTTCTTCACAACAACAGTCATTCTACACACAACCATCCGATGCTGTCTGGCCACGCTCTCCCCCGCCACAACCTTACAGTACCCAATCTCCCTCAGGTTTCCTCTTCTATACAGAATGTAGTTGACCTATGAACTCTTTCCTCCACTCTTATAGATCACTCTATGTTCCTCCCTCTTTTGGAAATAAGTGTTGACTACATACATTTCCATTCTCTTGGCAAAATCCACCACCATCTGTCCTTCCTGGTTTCTTTTGTTGACACCAAACCTACGCATCACTTTCTCATCCCCTCTGTTTCCTTCACCAACATGTCCATTCAGGTCTGCTCCGATCACCACTCTCTCCTCCCTGGGAATACTCTCTATCACTTCATCCAGATCTTTCCAAAATGTATCTTTCTCCTCCTCATCACATCCAACCTGTGGAGAATAACCACTGACAACATTTAGCATCAGACCTTCTACTTCTACTTTCAGAAATCTTCACCCTATATGACACTCTTTTCACCTCTACTACATTCTTTGCCAACTCCTCCTTCAGGACCCCCCCCCCCCACACACACACACACACACACACACACTCCATTTCTCTTTCTATCCACATCATGGCAAAACAGTTTAAACCCTGCTCCAATACTGCGAGCCTTGCTACCCTTCCACTTGGTCTCTTGGACACATAAAACATCTACCTTCCTTCTCTGCATCATGTCAGCCAGCTACCTTTGCCTGTCATTGCCCCCACATTTAGAGTTGCCACCCTCAGTCCTACATTCTTGACTTTCCTCTTCTCCCTCTGTCTCCTGACACGTTTCCCTCCTTGTGATCTTTTACCAACATACACATCCATCCATCCATTTTCTTTACCCGCTTGTTCCATTTTGGGTCACGGGGGTCGCCGGTGCCCATGTCCAGCAATCACTGTGCGAGGGACAAACGAGACAAACAACCATTCACTTTCTCACTCACACCTATGGACAATTTAGTTACCAATCAGCCTAACATGCATGTTTTTGGTCTGTGGGAGGAAACCGGAGTACCCGGAGAAAACCCACGCATGCACAGAGAGAATATGCAAACTCCACCCAGAAAGGCCCCTGGACCGGGGTTTGAACCAGGGACCTGCTCACTGAGAGGCAGCAGCTCTACCAGTTGCGCCACCGTGCTGCCCCCAACACACACAATTTATGATAATTTCAGAGAGGAAATATGCAGTTTCTTTGAAATTCTTTGCAGATGATTGACTTTAAAACTGATTCTTTGTGACTTCACTGACTCACCTCTCCATTAAGCTTTTTTTTTAAATAAATTCAAAGTGAATAAGACCTTGAAACAGCTTGAGTCAAATAAGAAATTATGAAGAGAAATTACCTTTGATAAACAAGAGAGGGGCAAATTGTGTTCAGTCAAGCCTGACTGAGAGCAGCATGCACTTTACTCAGGAAAAACAGCACAGTTCTTTGAAGCAAAGCCGTTTCCTAATGGCGCTGATAATGTTGCCATCATGAAGAATCACTTTTTCCTCACATGTTTAGATGAAGTGTGACTTTTGCTTTTAGGCCGCTCTGAAACATGGAGGTTGTATGACGAAGATGACAGTGTCATTTTACAAGTAAGAGCTTCAAGTAGCTTTTCCAGCCACTGAGCTGATGCCAAGGTCTGATCAACACTCAGGGGCTCTGACTGCAGCACAGCTGTAAAGGAGACAACTGATGTAATGAGTGACACCACGGCGCAGCCTTTATTCAAGGTGTGAAAAAACGAAGAAGCAGTGTCCTCGCAGACATTAAATACCATCATTAAAATTCAACCTGTCAAAAACCACTGTTCAAGATCTGCAGTCAAGGAGGTGGAGAAAGAAGCAAACAGGCAGGCAGCAGCAGGTAATAAGCATCTTCTCTGGATAAAAACAGAAAAAATATGCTCTTTAGAAGAAGGTACCACCCCACAAAAAATAAAATAAATAAAATAAAAAACCAAGTCAGACCAGAACCTGATGAAAAGAACAAGAACAATGCTCAGGTGAATGACAATCAGCAGGTTTACCAAGTACAGGATTAAAACCACAGAGCAAGAGTAAAACACAAACAAGCCATTATTATACGTCAATCAGGAGATACTGAAAAGGAGTGCATATATATATAT